GCTTTTGACCCCAAGATTCCTCCGTTCCAAGAAAATCTTCCAAACTCATCAGATCATCGGTTGGGGACTCGCATATATATGGAATCCCTCAGCCACCAAGGACTCATGAGTTCTGTACCACTTGTTGTTTCCAAACCTGCACAATACGTTGAACCATTCTCTGAGGGTAAAGAAGCCGTATTTGCCACCTGACGACTTCTAATCCACGATGCCTCCAGGTCGATGTGTGTGAGTCCGATCGTGCTTCCGGATGATTCCATCCACTGGCTGCTGGCTTAAGCCACTCGAAATATTATATGAACTCCACGCGGGTTCCTCTGATATGCCTCTTTAAGGATCTCCCCAGACGCCGCAACTCTTTTCGAGTTCTCAGTCGCTTCCTCCGTAGTGTTCGAATTTGCTCGTCATCTCTTTGATTGAGATTCTGAATGGAACTTACTGCAGTGCATCGTGGGGACGCCCAGATTCGCGTAGGCTTCTGTTTGGGAAAAGCCTCCAAAATGTCATCAACGCATGCAGGTTTTCGCAAATCAAAACCAAGCTCCAACGTCCATCTGGTTGTACTGAAACCTTGCCGCTGCGCCTCTAGGTCAACAGCAAATCTCCCATACATGTTCAGGCTACTGCATCCCAAAGACCCCAAACTGCTTTTGCACTATCAAACATCTCTGCGTGTCCTGATATGGAATTGCAAAAACGAGTCTTCTGAACTGGCAGGATGCTCCTCTCCGAATTGTCAAGCCATTCGTGGTCTCTCACTCCTTCGCCGGGGACTTCGCCGGAGACTTCGGCACTGGTGTCACCTCCGTAAGGTCCTCGTCGTCGTCGTTCATCGCCAGGTCGTGAACCTCCACAGACTTCTCCTTCTCGTCTCTCTTTGGTTTCGCCTTGGACGATCTTGATCTGGTGCTTCACGATCCGTGCGTCCTGAGCTCGAAGTCGCTCTAACGCCTCCATCACGTAGGACCGTGGTCCACATGGGTCGTCTGGCCTGGTGCTCCCACTGCTGGTGTGTAGCTGAGTCGCACCCCACATGTCAGGCACTCCTCCCACACTGAGGGATGTGCTTGCCCAGACACGGCCAGGTGTCGATGCCCATGTGCGGATCGTTGCTGGCTGTAGGAGCCATCTTGCGACTCTCGTCAGACTCCGTCTTGGGCTTGCTTGACTTCTTCTTTGACGTATCCTTCGGCTCGTTCTTCTTCTCTTTGTTGATCGCCTCTTTGACCGCCTGCTGGATCATCTTCTGCACTTCGCTGGATGACCCGGGGGTCGACATGATTGCCACTTGGATTGGATTTCCTAGCAGGAACCTTTGTGTCCACAATTGATCCACTGAATCGCGACGCATCTTCTGAAATGAGTTCCACATGCCCATCTGGCACACCAAGAAACTCCACGTACAAGCCAACTGAGCTTCTCGATGATTTATCCTCTTCAGAAATCACATACATGTCATGACTGCTCGCAAAATCTGAAATGTCATTATCATGTGGCTACTGGTTCAACCACTCTGCTGCCGACATAGGGCCTTCCAACATCGAGCAAACTGCACATGCTTCTTCTGCTTTGTCTCCAGAGGTGTCGTATCCCGTGAGTAAATATCGCATTCCACATCTTTGCAAAGATCCAGTGTAACATGTCGCTTTGAAGTGAATTCCAACTGCTTGGGTTTACCCATAACCAGCGCACGGCCCGTCACACAGTTCAAGATAATACCCAGTTGTTGCAATTCACGCATGCCCGGCAAAACTGGAATTCCAGGAGAAAGGGAGAGAATAGATCTCGAGTTGGGTATTCTTAGTAATTGTGTTTGCACTCTTGTGTGGGGGCTGCAGGGGCCCTTTGAGCCGGATCAAGCGCAGGGGAAATCATTAGCGTCTCGGTGTGCGCTTTGCCACTTGAGGGATTCATTATGACCCTCCAGTGCGGGAAGCCCTGGCACTTGGAAGATCAGGTCTTTTGGGTGCGTTCAGTGCGCTACCACAGCTGCGCGTTTATCAGATGTCTTGGAAAGGAGGCATGGCGACGAAGGGATCCGACAACAAAGAACAGTCCAACAGGGTGCCTATGTGGAATGGTCATCCTGACGGCTTTTTCCATTATGTCACGGAGGTGAAGTGGTATCTGGCGGGCACGCGTCAGAACGAAAGACCGTTAGCAGGGCGAGACTGGTCAGGCGCCTTTTGGAATCAGACTACCCTGCCCTCAAGAGCCTCATGTATAAGCTGGACCCTATGGATTATACAGATGAAGACGCTGTTCAAGAGTTTTTGCGATTTCTTGAAGCATCGCCTATGAACAGGCAACCGATCCCGGATGCAGGTGCAAAGTTGAGTATGTACTACCGGAAGCTGACGCGGAAACATAGCGAATCGGTGCCACAGTTTTTGGTGCGAGGGGATACAGCTCATGATGAGGGAGTTGGACTTTTCGAAGTTTGAGACCTCGCTGGAGGAGTTGAAAGAGTTTTGCGGCGTGCGTCCGGACGGGAGTGTGTTCATGGATGGCGAAGAGGCGGAATCTGTGATATCGGATAGGCCGTCTGCTACAGCATCTGCCCAAGCCGGTGCAACAGAAGCTGAAGGCGAAGAGGCATTCGCGGGCGCAGGCAAGAGTGGCAAAAAAGATGGAAATTCGGAAAGGCAAGAGCATCAACCCCTACCAGTTCGACAGGGATGGCAAAACTCCCTCGGAAGCGCAAGGATCTCATTCAGAGGTTGATGGAGAAAGGACTGATTCCGTTGGCAGCCATGGACATCATCAGAGGATGGCTAGTCTTGGAGATGTCTGCAGCGACTCAGAATCGCTTGAACTATGACAACATTCGTACGGCTCTCTTGACAATTCATGAAGTTTTTGTGCTCTTCGGACCAGTGCGGCTACTAGTGGCCTGCAGATGATCAAGGAGACGCTCATCCAGATCAAGCAGAGCAGGAGGACAACCCAGAAGTGGTACAGTTGATGGAGGAGGAGAAGGAGTTGCAAGCCATGATGGCGGAGACTCAGAGGAGCCTAGATCAGGCCCGCAAGGCAGTTGCTGCCGCGAAGAAAGAGCGAGGATGGAGTGGGCCCCAGCAGCCAAGTCCAGACCTACGAGAAAGGCAAAGGTAGCGGTCAACATCTGCAATGGAGCAACTACGGCAAGGGACCTGGCAATGCTAGGAAAGGACCTTCATCTTCGGGTGGTGGATCGTGGCAGCCGAACATGTACTTCAAGGGCGGCACGAATTCAGGATGGGCGTTTGGCGGTGGCAAGCACAGATCGAAAGGGAAGAAGGGCAAACCTTCTGCGTGGTTGGCGGAGATGTACGGTTTGATGGAGGTTTTCCCGGAAGAAGATCAAGTAGAACCACACGCTGCCTAGCATGAGATTCACCAGACCGAGCAAGGCAAGTGCCCTGCAAAGACCAAGGTCAAAACTTAGTCATGGCCCTGGCAAAGGTCAGGCCAGAGATGACCGTTGCAAGTGACGATCGCCCGTGGTTTCGGTACGGCAGCCGGCAATGGGGGGCTCTGTTTACGGTGAATTCTAAAGGGCGTGTGGTCGACTGTACAATTCTCAAAGCTGCAGTTTGGACGAGGAACTTTGACGGGGCTGGGGCTTTCCGCTGAGGTGCGGCAGAGTGAATGTGGAGGAGTACCTCAAGAACTTGAAGGGGCAGAGGATCCAGCCGGCTTCAGAGCGCATTGGCCAGGCAGGGCCAGGGGTGCCGGACGCCCTCACGAGCGGCCATGGATCGCAAGGTGCGGTGTTTGGTTCGGGAATCCTTCTCTGAAGAAGTTCTATCTGTCCGGGGGCCTTGCGGGAATCGGTGCCGTCCGGGCCCAGAGGAGTGCCTCAAGAACTTGAGGGGGCAGAGGATGCAGCCGGCCAAGCTTCACGAGCGGCCATGGATCGCAAGCCTTGCGGCGTAATCGGCGCCGTCCGGGCCCAGAGGAGTGCCTCAAGAATTGAAGGGGCAGAGGATCCAGCCGGCTTCAGAGCGCATTGGCCAGGCAGGGCCAGGGGTGCCGGACGCCCTCACGAGCGGCCATGGATCGCAAGGTGCGGAGCTTGGTTCGGGAATCCTTCTCTGAAGAAGTTCCATCAGTCCGGGGGCCTTGCGGGAATCGGTGCCGTCCGGGCCCAGAGGAGTGCCTCAAGAACTTGAGGGGGCAGAGGATGCAGCCGGCCAAGCTTCACGAGCGGCCATGGATCGCAAGCCTTGCGGCGGAATCGGCGCCGTCTGGGCCCAGAGGAGTGCCTCAAGAACTTGAGGGGGCAGAGGATGCAGCCGGCCAAGCTTCACGAGCGGCCATGGATCGCAAGGTACGGAGCTTGGTTCGGGAATCCTTCTTCCAGCAGTCTGGGGGCCTTGCGGCGGAATCGGCGCCGTCCGGGCCCAGGTTTGTCCTGAGCATCTTGGCAGGTTCCTGCTGGGAGGAAAGATGAGGAAAGCAAGGGGCAGCCGTCCTGTCCCAGGGTTCCTCGGGAAGTTCGTCCTTCACCTCCGTGTCCACATCCATGGGGCCCTGAGAGTCAGCCGAAGCAACTTCACGGGCCGCTTCTCTCCCTGCTTCCATTTTTTTCGTGCTTCGCGTCCATCGCAGCATCCATGGCGTGTTCCTTCCTGAAAAACAAACAATCAAGACCGAGACCGACAGATCAACGAAGGGGTCAAGGGAGTCAAGACTTGAGCCAATATGGCCCAGAGAAGAGAAACGTCCGAGAAAGCACAAAACGGCTGAAGCTGCAGCAAATGAAACTTGGCCCTAGGACACCCTTGTTTCACCAGACAAGTTTGGCCAACACGAGAAGTAGTGGAAGGTGCTGAGGGGGCGCTTTTCCATGGCTCTGCACAAATCAAAACAAACCATGGTTCCCACGCCATGCGACTGGGCAAGCAAGGCTTGTGCAAATTGCGGGGGCTGTACCGGAAGCTGTCCACACTCTCCTGACACTCTTTCTATCCAGAGTTACCCTGCGGAAGTGATGCGAAGTCCATCCAAAGCGGTGCCTGGGAGCACGTGTAAATGCCTTGGGATTCATCCGGATCCTCCTGCAGGCTTGTCCGACGTCACAGCCTTTTGCTCTTTCGCTCCCTAGGGAATACGGTACCGACAGACTCCCTTTAAAACCAGGCAGAAGGTAGAAAGTTGGTCAGCTCAAAGGAAAGCTCCAGGACCCACCAAGTTTCTACTCACGCTTTGGTCAGGTTCAGGTCTGGAAGCCTTCTGACTGAAACTCCACATGTGATGGACGTATTGGTGGGCGGATTTGTATGCTTGTTTACTTGGCCCACAAGAAAGGGGTACACGGAAAATAAGTGTTGCTCAAACTTGAAGCCGCAAATGGAGTCTTCTGTTTCCATTCGCCAGGGTACCGTTTTGGGCCTGTGCTTTTTGAGCCACACTCACATGTGTTCCGAAGCCCCTGTCCTCCCACAGTCGCAAAGTTTGATCCCTGGAGCCGGACAAAAGCTTCTTCGGCCTTGGCTTTGGCAGAAAAAGGGGCATCAAGAAATGTGTCGCGTTACCTGTCACAATCCTGATCAAGCAATTATGTCCACCTGCATCTCGTAAATAGATGTTGAATAAAAAACAAGCGGATGCCCAAAAAACATCTGGAACAAGACAAGCACCCACCCCGACAACTCAACAAACATAGTTAAACGCAAAACTAAACACATTGAGCCCAAACAGTTCAGTCATGGTTTCTTACACATATCCCTTGCCAAACACCTGGCCATGATCAAACCCACAAAGAGAGTAGTACTTCAGGCTGACCAATTTTGAGCCCAAGGCAAGGGCCCCTACAAGAAAGTCCGGTTGTCTGGTCTTTTGGAAAAATACAACCTGCACATGTAGCTGCCCTTGAATCATTAGACAGCCCAGGTGATGCTAGAGATGCTTCAGGCTTTGTTGTTAAATTTGTGCAGATTTCCCACACCCATGTTTTCTGACATGTCTCTGGCAAATTTTCAGGGACCCCTGGAATAAACTCTTGTTGCCTGGTCCCCCAAATGATTGAAAGGGAGCTCCAGGAATACTAAGCAACACAGAAACTCAAAGCCAGCAATACTAGCAATACTGCAAGTTCTCAAAAGAAGGCTCCAGCAATCCTAAACCAAATGGAAACTCAGATCCAACTCATAAAATGGAGCTTCAGCAATACTAAGCCAAATGGAACTCGGATCTCGTCACTTCACTCATTTGTGTGTCTCTCCCAACCCTCCCACCCAACACACCTTTGATTCATCCATGGGGGATGCGCGACCTGGTGTGTTGGGCCTGCCCCTCCATCCATGGTCAGTGGATGGGGCAGGCCAACCAAATCGTTCCAGGGGAGAATTTCCCCCCCGGAAGTGAAAAAGATGGCCGGTGAAAACGGCCATGTGTGCATCGTCAACCTGTCAGGGGGCGCAAAGGGGATGGTGGTGGGTACTCAAAACAGGCCTGAGCCTAAACACATGTGCCGTTTACGTGACGTTTCATGAGTGGCAAGCAACCCATTTCCACGTCACTTCACTCATTTGTGTGTCTCTCCCAACCCTCCCACCCAACACACCTTTGATTCATCCATGGGGGATGCGCGACCTGGTGTGTTGGGCCTGCCCCTCCATCCATGGTCAGTGGATGGGGCAGGCCAACCAAATCGTTCCAGGGGAGAATTTCCCCTTCCGCAGGGCGACCCTGGAACGCTTTCCTTAAATGGAGCCCGCTGCCACTACACCCGAGAGTGACAGCCTCCCTATGACTGACATGCCTCCTACCGCATGCCAGCTTGAGAGAAACCTCTCTCGTAACCCTCCTCCTTTGTTTTGTTTTCTTTCCCCCTGCCTCACCATGGTTCCTTCCATCTCATCTCCGCCTTCTTGGGCTTCTTGGCCGAGTTCTTGTCGTGGTGCTCCTTGCCCTTCTTCTTCTTATCCTTCTCGAGCCTGATCTCCGAGTCCAGCTGAGTGGCCGCCTCCATGATCTTCGGAATTACTTTGAAGCCCAACTCGTCCAGCTCCAACCGCACCCTCAGGTCTGGGTTGAAGAGGGTGAAGTCCAGGTTGGTGAGCGCGTCCGCTTCTTCGTTCTGTTCCCGAGGTGTCCACCCGAGCTGAAGGGTTGTGCCCAACTCGCCCAGCTGAACTGCTAGCTCCATCAGCACCACCGAGAGAGGGAACGCCGTGCTCATGTAGTGGTCGATGACGTGCGTGTTGACCAGGCTGTCGGTGAACCCTTGCACCACGAGCTCGCCCACCGAATCTCTCCACTGCGATCCTGGCCCGAAAATGCAAACAGCTACGGTGGTCGCGATCAGCTCCAGGCTAGCTATCACGCGGAACGGCTCGCCCTTCACGTAGGCCCACGGGGCCGTTTTCCGTGTCAGTTTCAGCGAGAACCACCACACCTCCGCGGTGGCGCGACCTCCGAAGGACTCCCATCCTCCGACCACCACCAGATCTCCCTCCGCCTTGGCATCCACCCGAAAGAGTTCGCCCACCTTCTTTGGCAGCGGCCGTGGCTCCGTCAGAGGACGCCGAGTGATCTCCACTTTGATGAACTCCAGCACGATCTGCACCGCCATCGGCACCTGATGAAAACCTCCCGGCTGAAGCCTAGAGGTCCACGCGAAGATCACCCCCAGGAAGGGGCGTACCTGCACCAGCGCGCCCGCCACGAACGAAAGCCGCCCCAGCGCTGATCTCATCCGGCTGCCCAGGATGCTGCCCTTGTCCTTGACCTCCTTTATCCAGCCGAGAACCCACGCTACCTTGCTGTCCCCTATGCCCTTGAGGTAGTGCTGAATGTCGGCCTCGTAGCCGATCCAGCCCAGCCTGGCCCCTCCAGCCACCTTCTTCCAGGTGATCGGCACCTCCACCACGTCCATCACGAAGAACCAGTAGAGGATCCGCCTCCAGCAGTCCGCACCGTGGGCCCCGAGGAGCCCATCGTCAGCAAATAGCAGGTGATAGAGCTCGTAGGCTCCGGCCGACATGTAGTGTGCCAACCTGGTGACTGCCGCTGCCACCCTCTGCCACCAGTAGGCTGCCGACCCGAAACCGAAGGCCCCCACCGTGTGCATGAAGACCTCTTCCGGCCTCTCCAAGCTGAAGGCCATGAGTGGCCAGTCCTGCTCCTTGCCGGGCACCAACTTGTGTGCACGGCTGACATCGTACTTCATGAGCAACCTGACTGCCGGGTTCGCTGCCTGGTCCGCCTTCATCTGCCTGACCATCGCCTCCAAATCGTCCACCCCCGGGAACCTCATGCGGTCCCTCACCCGAATCCGGTGGTTGATCATCACCTCGTGGGTTGCGTCGTGAATGATCCTCACCTTTGATGACCCCAACTCCTTGGGGACCGCCCCCAAAGAGGCCACCGCTAATCTGCCTCCGAACTTTTCCCCCGCCGCCTGCTTGTCCATCCGGATCACGTGGACCCTCTCGATGTCTTCCTCCACTTGCCGCCGAATGTCCTCCATGTTGTCCACCGCCAAGCCGTAGTTCTCGCACCAGACCTCCTTGAAGGGGTCATCCACCTCTTCGAGATTCCACTTCACCTTGGCTTCGAAGACCGCAGGCACCCGGGGCATCTCTTCGTCCACACCCAGGTCCACCCCCGTTTCCACCAAGGGGATGAGGAACTTGTGATCGGGGTCCTCCGCAACTCTCAGCAGGGCCTCCATCCTCCTGTAGTGGATCTCCGTGATCCGGTCGGTCCCCTGCCGAGTCACCTCGCATCCCAGAGAGGCCAGCTTGACGTCCACCTCCCTCCGGCAGCCGTCCACAAATTTGCCGAACGGCGAGCCGGTGAGCCTGCCCGCCGCCATCTGCCAGAACGTCTCCTGGCCTCTTTCCTGGCTCAGCCAACCTTTGAAGAACTTCATGATGATCTCTCTGATCTCGCAAAAGTGGGTGTTCTCGGGAAAGTTCCTGGCCCCCACTCTCCATCTTCCCGGTGAACAAAGTCCTCCTCCGTCGTGAACGCCCCTCTTCTTGCCTTTGTAGCAGGCCTGCATAGGCCTCCCTACTCCCCAAAATCCCTTCACCTCGAAGTCCTTTTCTCCACTGAACTTGCCCTCCTTGATGTTCCCGTCCGTCTCCTTCATGGCGTCCCACGCGACCTTGCCCTTCGGGGAGTCCTTGATCGTTGCCTTCTCGAGCGCCCCCTTCTCGACAAGCCCTTCCACCCCTTCCGCAGGGGGCTTGGTGAGATGTGGTGCCTCCAGCAGCACCTGATTGATAGCCGCTGCCAGGGCCGCATCCATATCTGCGGGGTAGGTTGATGCTGTGCCGGAGTCCGGAAGGCCTCCTCCGGGTGCTGCTTGGCCAGACCGTATTTGTGGTTGTGACCGCAATGCCTTGGCAGCGGGCCCAAGTATTTCCCCTGGCCGTCCAGCTGGGGCCACTGGTTGTAGAGGAAACTGGCGTGCAGCGGGAGGTCTGTCAGCAAGCGCGTCGGCTTGGGAGTCGGGGCCCCCCAGTTGCACTGATGCAGAGCGATGGACTGCATGCCCTCGAGCTTCTCCGCTGCGTTCCGGAGGTCTGGCAGCTTCCAAATGGATGCAGGTCGCACCCATTTGCCCTGAGCGACAGGGCTGTGTAGTCCGCCAAGGTCCTCCGGGTGCTCCCCCAGGAAGTAGGGTCGGCGAGCGATCAGGTCGCACCACGTAGTGCCCAACAACATCAGGATGTCGATGAACAATACGATCATGATGTTACCTTCATCCGCTTCTGCAGCTTCTCTGAGAGCCACGGGTACCCCCAAGGCCTTGCTTCGTCTCGTACTGGCTTGGGTCCGAAGTGATTGGCCCAAGTCACGCGCGACCACGTGCCGCAAGGAGGGGTGACAATGATCACCGCGCACTTGCCCCCCTTGATCTGCTCCAGGATACCCTGCCGCTTGCCCTCGTCCGTGAGGTCGTGATCCGGGTTCCTGAGAATGTCCCACTCCTCCAAGAGCACCTTGTAGCCCGCCTTCGAAGCCATCTCTCGCAGTTGGCTGCCCGTCGATGACTTCCTTTCCTCGCCGCTGAAGAGGTACAGCACGTTGAAGGTGCGCCCCGGCTCCTCTTGCCCAGCCGGGGCCACCTGTGGTCCTCAGTGTTCGTCCTTCCCCCCTTCGTTGGGGTTAGGACGACACAGATGCTGTGGGTGAGACCCCAGGCATTTGCGGCAGCAGTGCACGCGGCTGCATGGGCCCCGGCATCTCTCCTGTGGATTGTTGAACTTGTAGCAGATCTGCCTGCCATCGGGTGTAGTGCTGTGCCACGCCCCCTCCTGCGCGTTGCCACCCTTGGACTTGCCGCTGGCCCCTTTTCCTTTGGGCTTCCCCTTGTTCCGTCCTTTCGAACGGTCCATTCGGGGCTCGCGCTCCCGGCCCCGACTCCTTCTCCAGCTCCTTGACCTGCTCTTGGTGGCCACCCAGCTGTTGCACGCTAGTGGAGTGGTCAGGAAGCGCTCCTTCACCAGGGGGTCCACCATGGCCTCCTCCAGAGAGTCCACCCAGCTGTGCCCTTTGTTGACCTTCTTGATGGCGGCCTTGCGGACCTGGTACTCGTAGGATAGCAGCTCGAAGGAGGGCTGCGCCATGCTGCGGCCCTTGTCGTCCTTGGCCCTTAGACCGAAGACGTGCTCCCCCAGAAGGTGGTTGGCGTAGCGACTGAAGATGTTGGGCGTGATCCGCTGGAATGCCGCCTTGTTCGGGTAGCGAAATGCGCACATCAGGATGGCGTTGGCCACGAGATCCAACCTTACCCGCAGCTCTTCCGGCCCCGATGGCCGCGAGTTCTGCACCGCCCCCTTCTTCACCTTGATCGTGCCCGTGCTGTGGTCGATGACCGCTCCGACTGGTGCCACATCCGCGTCCTCCCTGCTGACGAACTCGGTGAGGTGCATGAACCGCCACTCGCCCTGCTCGATCTGGTCGAACAGGTTCTCGAGGGTGCCGGGCGCCGGTGTGACCCTGTCCTCCATTTTCTGGTAGGTGTCCTCGTACTTGGACCGCAGCGCCGCATGCTCTGTTCGTGAGACCACTTTGGGCATGCTGGACACGGTGGCCTCGGCCTCGACCTTGTTGCGCGTTTCCACCCGCACCCTCGCTGCTTCCCATGCGTCGACCACCGCCGCGATGTTCACGTCTCCGCCGGCCGCATCTGGGTCGATGTTGAGTGTCCTCCGGCAGAAATCCCGGATACCGCCCCGGTCGTCAGCCAGCACCGCAAACCGGCCGACTGTCCTTACCCTTGCTGCTGCCAACGCCACCTGCACATCTGGCGGCACCTCCTTGATGTCCAGCAAGCCACCGAAGTCGGGGTCCAGGGTCCCGATAGCTGCCTGCTGCGCCGCATCCAGCACGACCGCGCCAGCCATGACCCCCTTTTCTTTTCCGGCTCTAGCCGAAAGGTAGCAGCATCCATGCTGGTACCAACTGATCCTCGTGGCTCCCCCTGTCCCGGCCCTTGCAAACAGATCTCAATCAAGAGCCGCTCTTGCATGCAGCTCAACAGCGCTGCATGCTACTATCCCTCCGACCCGACCTCCCCGACGCATGAAAGCTTGCCCGATCCCTCATGCGCCTGCAAGTGAAGTTGTACCTCAACCTCACCCTTCCTGCCCCCCCCTTTCCCAAACTGTTGGCCCCGCGCCTGTCCTTTTCCCGCCGACCCCTTTGGTTTGGGTGGATCTGAAAACGGGTGAAACAGGCTAGTCCAGCGACTCCGTGGATGCCGAAACCGAGGATGACACCTCGCTGTCCTCGGTGGCCCCCGACTCGTCGCCCGCCTCGACACCCCGAGGGAAGCACTCCTTGCACACCCGGTGGTACATGCCCTCCGGGGGTAGGTCCTCACCCAAGTCCTCAAACCGCTTGTAGTGCACCCCCGGGACACGATGACACTCTCCCCCTCGGTGGAGTGTCCTCCTCTGCGATCTCCCCACCAGACTCACGAAGTATCGGCTCTTGTAACCCTCCGGCGTCCGATCTGGCTCGCTGGCGGTCTCTTCGTTCTTGCTCGCCTCGTCGCCGTCTTCCACCTCGACGATCTCCAGCGGATCCTTCTCCGAGGCCTGCCAGCTGTCCTTCCCGAGGATGCTCGCGAAGATGCCCCCCTGGAAGCTAGTCAGCCTCAGCTTCTGGTCCTCCACATCGCTGGCGTCCATCTCTTGCCTCGCCAGCTTCTCCACGACCTTCTCCAAGATGGACTCCTCGTCCAGCTTGTCGGGGCCCCCCAAGTTGTTCCGGATCTCCTCGGCCATCATCTTCTGCGCCTTCTCCACGTTGCCCCTGATGGACCTGACGTAGGCCTCGTCCGTGGAGGGCTGCCATCTGCCCAGCTGCTTGGCCACATAGTCGTCGACTCCCAGCGAGGCCGCCCAGGACCTCAAGGTTGCTCTTTCGGAATGCTCCGACCAAACAGTACCCGCGCCCTGGCAAAGCAGAACCCCTCCAGGCCGTCCGACCCCTTCTAACTCATCCTGCTTCCGCTGGCTCATCACAAGCTCGCCCAGCAAGGCCTGACTCATCTGCGACGCGTGGTAGTACTTGCCCATGGCACCGATGAGGCCTGTGCCCTCGCAGTTGGGCAAGGCCAGCAAGAAGTCCCGATTGAACAAGCCTGCCTCCTCGCTCATGGTCTTCCACAGCTGGTAGCCAACCCCAAGCCACCTGGGCTCCTCCAGCCATGCCTCCACCGAGATGAAGACGTGCTGGATCTCGACCTTCTTTCCCGCTCCGGTGGTCTTGGTCCTTTCCAGAACACCCCGAAGACCGCGGCCGCTCATCTCCAGCTTGCCGAAGGGCATTCCCTGCGTATCCGAGAAGCGCAGCGCCCCCCAGAGCTTCACCAACCGAAACCAGGCATAGGCCCGGGGGTATCTAGGCACCCCCTCCGTCATCACGTATCTCTCCATGGCCATGATGATCTCTACCGGGATCTGCACAGCCTGCCGCCGTCCTCGCAAATCCAAGCTGCCCAGCTCCAGGTTGACCTCCTCCAGGGTGTTCTGCAGCGCAGGGTGCTTGCAGAGCCTTTCCTTCTCCGGCACCTCCCCAGCCACCTCGATGAACATGAGGGTCTTCATCAAACTTGTGGGGATACTCTTGCCGCATGGCTCGGCCACCCGATGCATGACGTACTCGATGAACTGCTCGATGGTCCGCGGCCATGGCACATTAAAGGTGCTGTACAGCCACGTGGCAACATGCCGCCAGGTCTTGACGTGCTTCCGCAAAGTGGTGGATCTCCTCCCTTTTCCGATCCTGTGCCAGGCCGTCCCATCTGGGTCCGCGTTCCACCCCTCAGCAGCTGGCAGCTCCGACTCCACGATGATCCTCTTGAGCATCACCGTCCACCTCGTCCTCTCCGATCTCTCGGCCCGATCTCGCAGGTCCATGTTGTCTCCAGCTCGCCCCGCCAGCCTGCTGAGCCGGCAGGGCCAGCGTGCCAAGGGAGCTTTGCCCTTCCTGCAAGGCAGCGCCTCAAGATCCACGACCTCCGCCACTATCTCCCGCCGGAAGATCCTAGCCCGCTTGAAGCCAGCCGCCACCCAGTCCAACCCGCCTGACCGGCCTTCCACCCCCCACTGGGTCCTGCCGGTGCTCCCGCACTCTTTGACCTTCTGGAAGAACTCCTCCAGCTCCTCCGCCGTGGCTTCACGCCCAAATGCCTTCTCCAGGAGCTCGCGAAGGCCCCTCTTCGGCAGGTCGTCCAGTGTCGCGAGCCTGGCCGTGGTCCAGCCGCACGCCGCCAGCCTGGACCACGGCTCAGGCCACTCCATCGCCGCGAGAGTGCCCCCCTCTACTCAAAACAGGCCTGAGCCTAAACACATGTGCCGTTTACGTGACGTTTCATGAGTGGCAAGCAACCCATTTCCACAAGATATCATTCTGGGGATCCGAAGAGAGAGTGAAGGACCCTTACTAATCCTAGGTGGACATTACTGGGACTAATTGAGCTACTTAGATCTCTCTAAGAATGCGTGCACACGCGCGCAACAACTTCCCAGAATCAAACTCGTTCGGGATTATGCGCTGCGCCTTTGAAAGACACACAACATACTCCGATCCGAGGGGCGCGTCAAGGCCCACGCTAAGGCAGGTGACCCAGCAATGGTGGCCCTTGATAGGCGAGCTCTTAGCAGTGACCAGCCGCGGCGTCGCCGCGGGCATAGTGGTCCACACCCTTTTTGAACTTTATGGAGTCCAGGAACTTAGGAAGTGAGTTAAAGTCCCTGCATGGAATTCATCTTGGAGAAGCACGCGACTTTGGGTAAACGCATGCTTTCGGCCTGGCCGCCAAGCCTTGAGCCGATGGAAAGACACATGCAAAGTCCGGCCGCGGATTCGGCACATGTAGGCTACCCAGTTCCGCAAAGGCCGAACTAATTCTGGACCAACACAAAAGAAAAGCAGAAGGCGAAATGTTCGATTCGCTGCGGGTACCCGGCTGTCATAGCCGTGACCATTTTGCACCCTGTCAGTCTGTCAAGCTGCAATGGCCTGGCCGAAGGGCATATTGTTTGGTTCTGAGTGGCCCACTTGGAATTCCCCCAAAGGCTGAAGGGAATCGGCAATGCTCTCACCGCAAACCCAAAACGAACATCAGACCCCCCGAGACGGCCGGATTCAAGGCTGGGTTGATGGGTGCTCCACGTTCGGGTCAGAAGGCCTGCGTTGGCGTCACAGGCCCAGGTATTTGAATTCATGCGCTTATGCGGCCTGCTGCAAAGCAGTTGACAGTTACGGAACGTTAACTAGCAGCAGCGCCTTGCCCATGTAATTCGCCGACGTGGCAACCAACAAAGATCACACAAAGCATCACATTTCGGGCGCATGAGCCAAGCGTGGCATAGCATGCGATACCAAAACCGCCAACCACCTCCCTGGCCCGCATCGAAGCGAATGCCGGGAGTCGATGAGCACGGTGCCAGAGCCGCAAAACGGGTCAAGCACCTGAGAAGGGCGCGCCATTCCTCTCAACACCCAGAGGTTTTGCATTTGAGTCTCTCTCTGAACAGGCAATACAAATACAACATACCGCATCGTATCGGTGCGAATTGCGAGCTATCGGCATCGAAAAGCAAGTATCGCAACCTGAAATCATATCGAAGACTATCGCTGGAAATTGTGTTGAATCATACCGATTTGTATCGGTATCGGTTGGGGGTTGCTTTGAGGGGCCCTTTGGGGCCAGAAAGGCGGCAGCCAGCTGCTGCCGATAATGGCGGCTGCCTGGCACGGGGAGCGCCAAAGTCTTTGAGAGGCTGCTTGTAAAAGCCCCTTCCAAAAACCGGCTCTAGACAAATGCAGGAGCACGGACTGAGATTGCTTCAAGCCGATTCCATATTGCACATTTACGGCTGCGACCAGCCGAGGCCCACTTCCCAAGGCTCACCGGGAACAGCTGCAACCATCCGAGGCCAGAAACCAACCTAACTCGGCAAGTTAGATTTTGAGGGTTCCCACTTCCCAAGGCTCATCCAGAACAGCTGAGGCCAGAAATCAACCTAACTCGCAAAGCTAGATCGTTTTTGAGGGTTCCCACTTCCCAAGGCTCATGCGGAACAGCTGCAACCATGCGAGGCCAGAAGTCAGTCTAACTCGGCGAGTTAGATCGTTTTTGAGGGTTGCCACCATCCGAGGCCAGAAATCAACCTAACTGGGTGAGTTAGTTTGTTTTGGAGCATCCCACGCAGCAAACCTTTTATTGGTGCCTGGCTCACTCTTCACCGCGCCTGCCCGCACATGTGGGGGATCAATTCTTGCCTTTCGGGCTTTCAGAGCTCATTCGAAACAGAAACTGAGAATCAACTTACCCGACAAACATTGATTTCCGCTCTGGAAACCGGCCCACCCGGCCTCTTGTGGCAATGGCGCGCAGGCCCACACACCATCGGTTGACCGTATTTCCTTTATCGAGATATAATACGAAGTTGCTGTATCGCAAGCATATCGGGTACCAATAAAATCGAGTGCGCAAAGCTTGCAGTCCCGAACCGTATCGTCAGTTGATCACAAATTGCTCTGTCGTTGTTTGAGGGCACGGCTTTTTTTTGTGTTTTTTGTAAGGGGGAACCAACAAAAAACCGCCATATGGGGGTCCCGCTTCAAAAACGGCATCCTCCCCATATGAAACATGAGGGGTGGTCCCTCACAGAAGTTCAAAAACAAATAACCCGGCGCTATTCTGTGGAGTCCTTCCCAAGCTATTGAAGGTGGTAGTGAGGTCAGGGACCAAGGCGGAATCTGAGGAGTTTACCTGCTAGGGGGGCGGGACGTCCAAAAGAAAAAAAAGAGCCCAACAAGCAATCAGGAAGCATTGATGGTGAGGTTCATTCAAAATATGATAAAAGCTTGATTGCCTTATCCTTCGGATTGGCACATTGGCACCCGCTAAGAAAATGCCGTATTGTGAAGTCGCGAAATTGGACCTAATTATTCAAGTAACTTCCCAAGATCTGTCATCCCAGGTGTAACGCACGCCATCCCAAAGACCAAAGCGCAAATCATAGTTTGCACAGTAGCCGGAAGGGCTGGGGCGACCAAATGCTTGGACTGTAAAACCGTGTGGCCCTAGCCTAGCTGTGGGACTGTCCCATCGCACGTGTTCAATGGCTCCAGGTCGTTTGCTAGGGGTCCTTCGTGCGAGTCCCTCTGAAAACAATCTACATGGTGGCGGTGAGAACCAGCGCCCCTTGCTTAAACGACCTAGGTGATTAAACTTCAGTCATTCTGGAGGTGTTTGCCCTTAACAAGCTCCCCTCTGATTTGTTTATGCGAAGGGCGCCGTTCAAACGTGCTTGAACGGCTGACATCCCCAGACCCGATCTAAGCATATTGAAAACATGTACTCACATTCTGAGTGGATTGGCAAAAACAAGTCCATAAAATGGTTGTTTACCACTGCAATGGTCTTTCCAAAAGTAGAAAGCTCATAACCTCAGGGGGTGGAATTATGTTCAATGGGTTTCACCAATAAATGTGTTTAGCCCGAAGCTGCTACCAGGAACCGCAACCAAGTGGTCAGCTTCAGATATGGCCAGCTTGCCTCTGGACAATTGACGATAGCTAAAACCACTGCCATTGTCCTACGTGTATTTTCTTGCATTGCCCGATTCATGGTGCTTGGGAACATGTTCTTGCCTGACATGTTCAATCAGCCTTCGCAGGGCCAGCAAATCGGGTTCCATGTCAAGCTCGGCAAAGTATCGACTCCAGCAAAACAAATGAGAACGGAACCCCTTTGGGTCCGACTCGAAGAGTCCCGTTTTCCTGTGTTCAACAGAACGTGGAACCATACATGGGATTGCAGGCGTCATCCCTCCCTGAATTCCATTCTGAAGGGAGGCCCTCTTTCAAGGGGGCTCGCATAACCTAAGCATATTACACACGAACATTGAATGAACAGGGAAACGCGGGGGCAACGTGTCGATTCGCTTGTGACAACTGAGCTAGTGCAACCACTCCAGCTGAGCCACTTCCCAAAAAACCAGCATGGAATCTGAACAAGCACTCGAGTTTGCAAGGGAGCCTTCTGCTCTTCCAAACCCCTCAAAGTTGCAAGTCAAACCTCCTTTCAGAAAGTGCTGCCCAAAGTTTCCCAGGTGGCTGAGGTTGGATTTGGCGGATCAAGGGAAGCAACGTGGTTTGTTTCTGGGACTTAAAGGAACACACAACCTGATGGGGTTGTCAACATGTCGGGACCCCATTTGGTTGTTACTCACTTGGTTGCTCCAAGCCCCCTGAGCAAAAGGTCGATCACATTGGGCAGGTTTCCTGGAAAAAGCACCTGCTTCCAAGCTCTACGGGTCCCCACATTGAAGTTTGCTAGTGTTCCAAAGCAAATCGGAAACTATTCAAACAAACAACCACCAGAGTTCTAAACCAATTGGGGGGGAGGAGATCTTCTTTGACCAGTCGCCCTGGACCTGCCTGATGGCTTACCCCGTGCATCAAAGCGCCCTCTCTCCTCTCTGCCAGGCTGCGGATCGGGCGTGCGGCAACATGTTCAGCAACTCCCGAGCCGTCATGGCCTGCATGCCTGCCATGTACTTGTACCTGAGATGATCCTAGCAAGTTGCATCCTCCAAAAGGGCCCGAAACGTTGTTGTTTGGGCCTTGGGCTCGAATATGGTTTCGACCCAAGGGTTTATTTTAACGACCCAGTTGCCTAGTGACGGACATTGCTTCTTTTGCGCAATTCGCCGAGAGGTTGAAAGTTGATGGTGAAATTATTTGTGACAACTAGAGTCATGGTGCCTTTGATTCAGGCCCTGAGCAAAGCCCCAAAACACCGGGATCATCCAAAACAACCAACGCTTGGGTCGCGGCGAAGCATGTTTCCGAATCTGGCTTTCCCGAAAGCATGGCGAAGGGTTCTTCCGTTGGATTCATGGGAGTTATCATCATGAGAGACATTGCAAAAAGTTATCATCAACAGAGTCATTGCACAGAGTCATTGCACAGAGTCATTGCACAGAGTCATTTCACAGAGTCACTGCACAGTTTCGTCATGAGAGTCACTTGCGAGGAGCAATGCTCGTGAGAGCCACTGGCGAGGCGCAATGATCATGAGAGCCACTGGCGAGGCACAATGCTCGTGAGAGTCACTTGCGAGGAGCAATGCTCGTGAGAGTCACTGGCGGGGAGCAATGCTCGTGACAGTCACTGGCAAGGCGCAATAGTACTGGCGAGGCGAAATGCTCGTGAGAGCCACTTGTGGAGGAGCAATGCTCGTGAGAGTCACTTGCGAGGAATGCTCATGAGAGTTCTCAATGAGAGGAGTTTTAACTTCTTTTCTTCTCTTCTTGGGGCGGCGGGGTAGGGCCGACAGCACTACTGTGGACTTTTTACGATTTCTGCGGGACCCTTTGCGGAAATCGGCGTGGTCGATGTTAAAAAGACTGGAGACTTTTTGCGATTTCTGCGGTTCCCGCGCGACCCTCTGCGGAGATCGGCGTGGTCGAAGCGCTCTCGCTGCGGAGCCGTGCGAATTTGCAAAGTGCCCGGCGAACCTGGCGTTGTGCGATTTTGTTGCTTGCGAACTGGTCTTTGGAAGTTGCCGCGTGGTTTGCGCGGCTGCTCTCGGAGTCGTGCGGTCGCGGGTTCGATCCCCGCCTGGTCCGCGGCAGCTTTTCTAGACAGAAATTGCAACTTTTAAGTGCAAACGTAGTACGCGGAGGACCTGGAAAATCGTAACTTTTAAGTACAAACGTAGAACGCGGAGTACACTCCCGCAGCTGCAGCTCAAAATTCGCAACTTGTAAACACAAACGTAGTACGCGGAGTGCACTCTCGCAGCTGCGGCTCAATAATCGCAGCTTGTAAGTACAAACCTAGTACGCGGAGAACACTCCCGCAGCTCCGGCTGCAAAATCGCAACTATTAAGTACAAACGTAGTACGCGAAGTATATTCCCGCAGCCCCGGCAGCACTTGCACAGAGCAACTTGCACGCAGCAATTTGCGCAGAGCACTTGCGCAAAGCAACTTGCACAGAGCAACTTGCACAGGGCAACTTGCGCAAAGTAATTTGCACAGAGCAACTTGCGCAGAGCATTTGCACAATGCAACTTGCACAGAGCAGCTTGCGCAGAGAGACTTGTACAGAGCACTTGCGCAGAGCAACTTGCACAGAGCACATGCACAACGCGATGGCGCGGAGAATTGTGCAGAGCAACTTGCAGAGAGACTTTCGCAAAGCACTTGCGCAGAGCACCTTGCACAGAGCAACTTGCGCAGAGCACTTGCACAGACCACTTGCGCAGAGCAACTTGCGCAGAGGAACTTGCACAAAGAGACTTGCACAAAGCAACTTGCACAGAGAAACATGCACAGAGCACCTTGCACAGAGCAACTTGCACAGAGCATGTGCGCAAAGCACGTGCGCAAAGCACTTGCAGAAAGCACTTGCGCAGAGCAACTTGCACAGAGCACTTGTGCAAAGCGTAGCGCAACTTGCGCAGAGCAACTTGCACAAGGAACTTGCGAGGGCAACTTGCGCAAGTAACTTGCACAAAACACTTGTGCGGAGAAACGTGTGCAGAATATCTTGTACAGAGGATGCGTGGGGATGATCGCGGGGTTGTGATGCCAACCGTGGTCCAGTTTACTGAGGTTCAACTCCCCAAGTGTCCAAGCTAGCTCACAAGCGGTGACCTGATTTCGGGATTCGTGTTGAGTTTGGGCATTGAAACTGCCGTCGCGTTTGCCAACAACTGCAACTGTTACCGCCCGCGCGACCAGACAAATAAAAGGCTTGTCCCAAATGGGCTTTGGAGGTATGGAGGTTACACGGGGGCATACACCGCGTTACATGCGTTTATCCTTCAAATATAAGCATCCACACCTCCAAACCGCCAAACCCCACACCTAAAATGACCTTGAAACAAACAACGCACAAACAACAAAGCCAAACACAGACACACAGACACAGACACACACACAGACACACACAAACAAAAAAAACACACAAACACACAAACACACAAACACACAAACACACAAACACACAAACACACAAACACACACACACACACACCCACACACGCGCGCACGCACGCGCGCACGCACGCGCGCGCACACACGCGCACACACACGCACACACACGCGCACACACACACGCGCACACACGCGCACACACACACACAGAGACACACAGAGACACACAGAGACACACAGAGACACACAGAGACACACAGAGACACACAGAGACACACAGAGACACACAGAGACACACAGAGACACACAGAGACACACAGAGACACACAGAGACACACAGAGACACACAGAGAGACACACAGAGACACACAGAGACACACAGAGACACACAGAGACACACAGAGACACACAGAGACACACAGAGACACACAGAGACACACAGAGACACACAGAGACACACAGAGACACACAGAGACACGCAGAGACACGCAGAGACACGCAGAGACACACAGAGACACACAGAGACACACAGAAACACACAGAGACACACAGAGACACAGACACACACGCACACAGACACACACACAGACACACACACAGACACAGACACAGACACAGACACAGACACAGACACACCAAAACAAAAAAACAAGCACAGCAAGCTTCAAATTAACTAACTGACCGCCTCAACCCGCCAACAAACAAACAACCAACCAACCAAACAACCAAACAACTAACCAAACAAACCAAACACCACATCCTTTAATAGTCCTACATCCGCCCTACTGACCGGCACAGTACTTTTTCAACCAGACCCCGTCAACCAGCCCCCCAGATCCGATTGCCAAGACGCAGGCCGTGGGTGAGCTGCTCCTGCTGCGGCGGCAGCAGCGGGTAGCCCAAAAGCCACTGCCTGGGCCGTGGCTCGGAGCAACGACCTCGGCCTTAGCCCCGGCAACGCCTCGCAGAAATGTCGCAAAGGGCGCCCCTGCCAGCAAACAACATCGATGAATCAACATGTTTGTTTCTGGCCCATATGCAGCTCGCCTTGATATGAATGAGGCAAACGAGGTCCCAGCGGAGTAAGTTTGGGAAGGAGCCAGCTGGAGCTGAAACCAGCTCATCAGGATCCTGTTCGCCCATTCTCCTAACTCAAGAAAACCGATTGAGTTGTTCGACCCTCAATTCCAGCCGCTCCGCGCCGATTCCATCTGCCAGCGAAACCTCCACCCAAACTAAGAGCTCCTCACTTCCCTGCTGGGTGGCCCAAAGAAAATCCACACTTTGTGTATTCCTCTAAGATGGTTTTCCTGAAAAGGATAAATGTCCATGAGCTCAACTTTTCAGACTCCATACATCATCTTCCTTGCGGAGAAGGGTCCGGCCCCCTCCTTCCATAGGGGCAGGGTTTTTGGGGCCTCCATTTTACAGTCCCTTCCGCTGTTGTTGCCTTCATCCTCTGTCCACCTTTCAAGCTTCTATGTGAAGGAAGGGGACTAACTTATGGAATCTTCTTCGTTCCTTTTCCTAGCGTGCAATCTTCTGCACCTTCTCCATCTCACACCAACCTTGAAGTGCTTCTCTTAGAGAAGAACCGGGGAAGAGATGGCATGCTTTGATCGCCTTTGGATTTTGTTCCCCCCTCATAGTCCCTGGCCCCTATTTGTTATGAAGTTCTATCATGTCCTGGTTGCTTACACAACTTCTTTGGAGCTGCATGTGATTCGGTCGCTTAGAATCGAATTTCTAGGTGATGCAGGACAAGAAGTAGTTGCCAAAGGAAGTGGTTGCTACAATAATCTCTGCAACAAGCACCGGCCTTGATTGCTGCTTTGCCTCACCTTTCATGAGCACACACCTGTGGCAACAAGGGGCTTGGTGTCACTGCACTGGGGCTTAGTTCCAGAAAACCACATTCCATGCATTTTTGCAACACCACCAGAAAGGGTAAGCCCAACTCATGTGGGCTGGGGGGGAGGGAGGGGAGAGCCCAAATACGCCCTTATTAAGCCCTTAATATCCTTATTTGGGCTCCCTCCCCCTCCCCTCCCCCCCCCTCCCAGCCCTCATGAAAACTGCACGCCCCATCTGCAAGTTGCAACTCCAGAGCTTTCCCCAACGCCGATGGCTCTGCGGAAGGCGGCTCCTAGCGTTTTCTCGGAGTGCAGCATTCCCCCCCCCCGGCTGGCAATGGGAACAATGTGTCTACGTAGAACTCCTGGCTGAGTAATAGGGGATGTCCCCTTTGGTGGGGAGTTACTGTTGGAGGGAACAATCCCCCAATAGGGTGGGTTTATAAAACCGGGGTCAACAGTACGCCCTGCATTCTTACCTCAAGCGTCTAAAAGCAGGCACGTGCCTGGGATTGCGCCGAGCTGGAACATAATTTCCGGCTACTTTGAAACATGGACCATGTTGCTCAGCGTGCGCACGCCCAGGTGTGATGCGAAAACTCTCAGAGACGTGCCGTGCAAATGCGCCACCACCACCACCACCACCACCACCACCACCACCACCACCACCACCACCAAGGTCAGCAGGTGCGCGTTGCACCGAGTGAGTGAGCCTGCCAGAAGGATTAACCGTTAAACAGCCTTGTGGCTCAACCTATGGGAACCGCGCCCCGTGGCATAATATGACTGGTGTTTTTCTTCTCTTGAGGGTACCAGGGTACCCTTTCTTGGTTGTTTTCGTTAAGAGGAAGCCAAAAGGACAACCACCCCACCCATACCACCTTGTTCTGCTCAAAGATGCAGGTGGACCTTTTTTTTCTCCCCGACAGCATGGCAAAGGGTTCTTCCGTGCGGAGCTCTTGGTCAACTTGCGCAGAGTAGCTTGCACAGAGTCACCAGCATGGAGATACTCGCGCAGAGTTACTAGCACAGAGTAGCTTGCACAGAGTTTCCAGCATGGAGATACTTGCACAGAGTCACCAGCATGGAGATACCAGCATGGAGATACTTGCACAGAGTCACCAGCATGGAGATACTTGCGCAGAGGCACCAGCATGGAGTCACCAGCATAGAGTTACTTGCGCAGAGCCAAGTGCAAAGAGCGAAGTGCATCGAGCCAGGCGCATAGAGCCAAGTGCGCAAGTGCATAGAGCTAGGTGCATACATCTAAGCTAAGCTAGGTGTAGAGGCTCGGCGTTAGCAGCTGTGTAAGCTAGGATAAGTAAGTTAGGTTAAGTACTTGACGCGCGGGAAAGAAAGAGAAAGAGCTCGGAATTAAGAATCTCTTTTAAGGCGGGGGCTGGGGATGTTGCCGACGATCGGGAATGCGACCCTATGCGGAGATCGGCGTGGTCGAGGTGCAAAAACTCAGGGTTTTTGCGTTTTTGGATATGCCCGCGCGACCCTCTGCGGAGATCGGCGTGGTCGAGGTGCAAAAACTCGAGGATTTTTGCGTTTTTGGATATGCCCGCGCGACCCTCTGCGGAGATCGGCGTGGTCGAGGTGCAAAAACTCGAGGTGTTTTTTCGCTTTTGGATATGCCCGCGCGACCCTCTGCGGAGATCGGCGTGGTCAAGGTGCAACAACTCGAGGTTTTTTGCGTTTTGTGATATGCCCGCGCGACCCTCTGCGGAGATCGGCGTGGTCGAGGTGCAAAAACTCGCATTTTTGACATTCCCGGATGAACCGCGCTCTAGCTGTGGCGCCGTGCGATTTTGTTGCTCGCGAAATGGCCTTTGGAAGTTCTCTCGTGGTTTGCGCGCCTGCTTTCGCAATCCCGCGGTCGCAGGTTCGATTCCCCCCTGGTCCGCGGCAGCCCCGGCTTGAAAATCGCAGCTTTTAAGTACAAACAGAGTACGCGCAGCGTGCTCCAGCTCCGGCTGGAAAATCGCAACTTTTAAGTACAGACGTAGTATGCGGAGCGTGCTCCGGCAGCTCCGGCTGGATTATCGCAGCTTTTAAGTACAAACGTAGTACGCGGAGCACACTCCCGCAGCTCCGGCTGGAGTACAAAAATGGTACGCGAAGTACATCCCCACAGTTGCGCAGAGTCACTTGCGCAGAGCAACTTGCCCAGAGCAACTTGTGCAGCGCAATTGCACAAAGCACTTGCGCAGAGCAACTTGCACAGACCAACTTGCACAGAGCACATGCGCAAAGCGCTTGCACGGAGCAACTGGCGCAGAGCACTTGCGCAGAGCAACTTGCTCAGAGCACTTGCGCAAAGCAACTTGCACAGAGCACTTGCGTGCAGCAGCTTGCAGAGAGCAGCGGCTGTTGAAGAATCTTCGCCAAACTCACTCGCAAGTTTATCCCTTCCACACACATGGCTTTCAATGCTTTCGGGCCAATCGTCCTCTAGTTACATAGGGTTGAGCCGCAAGTAGGCAGGGTACGACAAACAGGCCAGGCCCTTGGACCTAGATGAATGAGGGCCTCTTTTTCTGGGGATGGTCCCGCTTCTGGCGGTGATGCAACGAAAAAAGCGCTCATCTCATATTGGGCCTTGTTTGCAGGGATTCGGGGCTGCTGCAAAGGAAGACCGCGGGGGGAATCAAGCATGGAGATAAGCCCATGTTTGAGTCAATTCAAGGTCCCACCCCACGCTCCGGCCTCACTCAGGCAGTACTTGCCCTTGGCCTCCTGCAGGTGCAGGCGCCTCAAAGAAAAGAGAGGGCCACCGCCTGAAGGCATCTAAACGTCGTTTAACCCACTGAAACTAGCAAAACGCCCCGAGAACCATTCTTGACCCACAGGCTGTTGGCTCCGACGAACCCTGCAAAACCCACTATCTTTCTCTCAGGTCAAATCTTGCATTCTTGGCGAACAAGGCTGCCAAATTGGGAAACATAAGGTCAAAAGGTCGGTTTGGGACAACTGAGTTCTTTGTTGGCATGTTGGGCCGGTCCCTTCTTGTTGCACCCCTCGGCTTTGGGGGCTTCTGTGAGGCTAGCTGTGCCAAAGGGTTTTCACAAGTACTCCTCCCTCCATGACTCAGCCATGCCTGCAAGCTGTTCATGGCAACATTTCTCGCGAACAATAACAGCTGTATATCGCCTGCATTCAACCCGTCACATACAGTCATGTTTCAACAAGTAGTGCTCAACGTGTTGGGTGCAGAGTTCTGCTTGATCAAAAACCCAAAATCACAATGATCATTCCCACACAAACATTGCACCATGTCTTGCGGAAGCTGGGGCCCCAGCCACTGCAACTCCTGCAGGGTTGGCCAAAGCAGAAGCACCTCGGCCCGATCGATGGCCGGACCGAAATGGGCTCCTTGAGTTGGCTGACAACTTGCGTGCGGCCCATGAAAAACATTTAGTTCTTGCCAAAGCTAGCAGGTGAACCAAAAAAACACGTGACCCCTGGAAAGCTGGCAGCACACCCGGAAAGCTTTAGACATTAGCTTTGAGAACTGATGCCAAATGTTCATCCAATCCAGAAGAATACCTCAGGGACCTCAATCATGCGTGTACCGGTTTCCAAAAACGGGGATTTTACCTTCTTTCGAAGACCCAGGCCAGTACAAAGCCCAAAGAGGTTCCAGTTGCAGGCGAACAGAAGCCGCAGCCGAACCCGGGCCCTTTCCGGAAAGAAAGCGCAGTGATCAATCTAAAAGAACCACGATTCACCAATCCAGGAGCCTTCGTTATGCGGCATGCGTGAGGTCGCAGTCCTTGATGAACATGTGGGTGGGGGTGGTTCCCTTGTGGTCAGCACCAACCCCAGGTGGCTCCCAACATTATGTTTCTCCGTTTAGCCTCACCCCACTAAAAGGAAGCTCACTTGAAAAAATTGCCCCAAAAGTTTGCCCCAAAAGGAAACGTTTAAGCCCCACTTTTTGAGGCGGGAAATAGGGGGAACCCCAAACAACCAGAAGAAAAAGGCCAAACAAAACCAAAAAGCCGCCAGCGTTTTGGTGGACATCAAATTGGACACTTCTCGGCCGCTCCGCTCCGCTCCGAGTTCCCCGGCCTCCTGCCAGCGGCCCCGGCGCTCGCAGGCCTTCAACGCGGCCGCGCAGCAGCTGGCATCCCCCTGGCTCCAGGGAGCCGGCGATTTCAGGACGCAGATGCCGAATCGGTGTCTTTCAAGGGTGCAGTGCAGATCAGAGGTTTTACCGTTCTGCCAACATGAATATAGATGAGTGTAGTTTTTGTTTTTAAGACAGAATAGATAGCTACAAACACTCATGTACTAGTATCTATGTAAACATGTATGTATCAAGCATCCAAACGGCTTTTGGCGTAGGGCCGTAGGGGGAGGGCAACTCTGCCCCGCAAGCACTCTGGTCTTTCGAAGGAAGCTCCTTGGGCGTCCTATTTAAAGGAACAAGCCCCCATTGCAAAGAGCAAATATCAAACATACCCCCTCTTCCCTGTTCTCTCACATCCAGGGTCACCTCACCTGGGTGAGAGAACTACAGGAGTTCAAGCGCGGTTGCATTGTCGGCTTGCCTCATCAATTGATGGGCTGCGGCCGAAGGTAAGAGGGCAAGCACCGAACCAGTCTGCTTGGAGCTGAGGTCTCACTCAATGTTTCTTCAATTACATGGCAAAGTTGCCACGTCAACGGCTGCATTGTCAAAGAGTACAATCTGACAAACGCGTCGACTCACAACAAGTAGTAAAGAAATCCATGCCACCGCTTTGAAGCTAGCGCCCCCCTACCAATCCAAGCTACTGAAACGGAGGAAGACACCCTCCCGACCGGATGCGACGAGTGCCAGTCTGCCAGTGGTCAGTGGTCCGTACATGTCAAGCTCAAACAGTTCGCTCGAGGCAAAACCCTTTAAACGACAACGTGCAATGTTGGATCCAGAAAGGGAATGTAACTGGGTTACACCAAAGCAGGAAGATTGAGTCTGGCAGCGCCTTGTGCCAGACTCGTGGTTAGTCGTGTTGTTCCTCCGACGCAAAAACTAGAGCTGGCTTCCAAGGTGGAATCCCCTGCCCAAAAGCTTAGATCTCAGAGCCTAAAGTGTTTGCCTCTGATGGCCTTGGCCGAAGCTTCCTGGGCTTGCAGCCTCAAAAAGAACCCATGGTCTCGAGCATGGCAAGTGGCGCGCTACTTTGAAGCTCCCCATCCTGCTTGCGGGGCCCTCCTGTGCCCAAGAAAACACGGCCTCTTGGTCCATCGGGGGTGAACTTCTTTTTGGGCGGTTGGCATGATGGGTGTAGAAAAGGGAAGCAATATATGCACGTTGCTGACGTGTCATTGCTCCGTATACTTTGTCCGGGCCCTTGTCGAGCTCAAAAGGCACAACTTTCTATTTGCGCCTTCTAGTTGTGAATTCCTAAAATCGACCAATGGCCTGAACGAGTTTATCAAACTGTGCATATGACTTTGTGTGTGATTTTGATATGTTTTGCGCCATGGCTGGGAAATGGACCCGTTTTTGTTTTTTAATCAACATGTTTCCTCCACGCGACCGTGGCCTCTCCATCCAACTCAAAGAACCTGGCGACAGCTTCTTCCTTGGTTGTTTTCCAAGGTTGGCCAGCACCAACTCGAGGGGAACGTTCTTGGGCTGTCGACCAACAGGACCTACAAAAAAGGCTGATTCATCATAGAAGGTCCATTCGCCTGTTCTCCGCGTTCAGTTCCGTGCTTCTTTTAATGTTGCCCGGATAGCAGCACAACAATTGAGACTACGTAACAACATGACACAACAAGTACCCACAGGCTGAGACCCAAAGCGTTTGAAAGACTTATAGCGGCAGTGCTGCCTGTGTGCAACCCCCAATGACCCCAAACGAAGCGGGAGCCTTGGTATAGGCAACTTTTCTCGCACGCCAAACACCATGCCAACACAACACCAATGAAGCTCAACCAACCAGTTGCGCATTGACTTTCAGCCAGCATTCCAGCCTTACTCTCTGAAGCTCCCGTTCCAGTGACACCCTGGAAGTTGACTTGGAGAAGGGGTTGTATTTTGCCGAACAGCCAACTGGCCTGCTTTCATCGAACTCACGCCAGAAACAAATCAACCCGTGCCAGCATTTGCGTTTCTCCTGAACAACCTTTGCCCACACAGTACCCTTTTGGCAGGCAGCCCAAAGGAGACCACCCCCGCTGAAGTCCATGGTGGGAAACTTGTGATGCCAACATAGGTCATCCGCATGACTCTGTGACTTGAAAGGGCATTTCCGTGGAATGTGACCCTAAGCCCAAGTCCCTACATGCGGGTGTCTCTTCAACCAGGGGACCCACAAAGTTGTGGTTCCCCGTTGGTTTCAACCGGGCCCAAAATGGGGTACCCTCAAAAAGACAGCTCCAAATATGGGAGGTTCCTCAACTCAGTTGCCCAAAGGACCTGGAAATCAAAGGCCAACCTTCTGGCGCCATGACTAAAGATGGAAAAGGGTCAATTCGCCTTGGGATGAGTCGCACTGGTACCTGGAAATCCCTCCATGGGCTCACTCCGAGCGGCCCAGAGCCCGGCCGCGCTGCAGCAGTCCAGCAGAAGGCACCGCGCCACAGATCCTTTCGGTTGGAAGGCCTCGAAAACCGCCACCGCCAGCTCCTGAGACACGCCACGACACCCCCGCCTACCGCGTGGCACCCGTGGCGCCCGTGGCGCGAAGTAAACCAACCACGGGCCGCCCACAAAACCAGGGCAAACTAAATCAGGGGGCTCCTTGCACCCTTACCAATACATAGGCCAGGGACCGAGAAATAAAAGGCCTTTTAGACCTTTTGAGACCACCTTCCAATGGTTGCCACAAGGAACACCAAAGGTCAAAGGCTGGATTCGAGCGGACAGGTACACATGCAACAATCATCGGTCTCCACATGTTGTTTAAGTCTAAGACCTGAAGTAAAAAGTGGAACCCCGTATCAACACAATATACACATGTCATCCGGGCATGCGGTGCGTATAGCTCAGCTGTGCTTTGTTCTTGTCCGCGGAGCGGGGTCCACACTTTGAGCTTTCAACCTGTTGATACAACTTTGCACCCCTGAATGGCTCAAATAGGTAAGAGGTTGTTTCCAGAATAAGTGACTACAAATCCTCTGTTTCCAAAGGACAATAAGTCATGAGCCATTTGCCTCCAAACATGGAAGTGGACAGGGTTCGGAACAGGAAAGCCGTCCAAAACAGACAATCAGGGACTTGTTGCCTTTCTTTGGTCGCGTGATTGCTTTTTGCTTGGCGGTTTAAGGGATACATGACCTAGGATCTTTTCACCTGTGATGGTCAATGTAAAAATCCTATCTCCCCCCAAGAGACCGCTGAAAATGCTCCAAGCCGTCAAAAGCTAAGACTGGACGAAGCAAGCAGGATTCAGGCACGCATGAGGCCCAACCACGTGTCGGTCAAACAGTGGGGTGCTTGGTTGGAGGTGCCCTGTCCCGCGCCATGTTTGTGGAAGGCTATCAACGTCTCAGAAAGGGACATCGGAGGTCTGCTTTGGAAAACCATGGTGTTTTGAAAGGGCCGTGCGTGAATCGCCTACAAGCACAAGTGAGGTTCGGGGTTTTCTGCAGGGGAAACCATATGGGTCAGGCGCAACGGCATTCTATTGACCAGTGGAAGAGCGCCAACTACTGTATCACTTGTGACCTTCACGGGGAGTGGGTTTTCGCCAAAGCCAGTCGGAATCGAAAATCCTTTTTGGGGTTGCTTCATGTTGAGTGGGAAACCCTGTGCGCTCGTGGCAAGGCAGACGATATGTCCAGACATGCAGGCGGCTGCCACTGTAGGAATCCAAGGGAGAGATAGGTCGAAATATTCCTCCAAAAGCGGCCATCCCAGACAAGCCCCTAATCAGGCCCCATTCGAGGTTTAATATGTCACGTGCCCCCCGCCCCAGCCGCAAGGTCTGTGAAACTACGTCGATGAGCAGCTTCCCTCGAAAAGGGTGGTTTGGAGCCTAGTTCGGAGAATGGGTTGCCCATTTGCCCACCAAAGCCAGGATTCAAAACCCGAAACCACAACGTCCCTTGTCCATAGCCCTCCCATCATTTCGGCGTGTCTTCTATTTTGAGGCTGCCCTTTTCGTTCAGCGGTCAGGGACCAAAAGGAACCCCGAAGCCATTTGCTTTAGTGTTAGGGTACTTCTTTTTTGTGGTCTTAGAGGGAACCAGGCCAAGAGGAAACTCCACCAGTTTGCTGGGCCCCGTAAAGAAGAGAGAAAGAAGTTCCCCCCCAAAAAACGACGCTCAGTCGAGTCTAAGGTCCCCGGCCCATTGACTGCTCTTCTCCATGGCGCTCATGGCACTGCTGCACACCAGATTCGAAGCTTCGGCGGAGCCGGCCGCTTCGGAGCCCCAGAGCAGCTGGAGTGTGTGAGCCTTGCCGAGCGGCCAACACCAATTTGGGGGGGGGGGTTTTAAAGGGAAGCACTGGAAAACAGCCATTTTTTGGGGGGGTCCCCTCAAAAAAACAAAAGCAAATGAACTGTTGCCCCAAGACCCAAAAGGACATGGATTTGTGTGAGTCCCTTGGGAGATTTAGTGGGTCCTGGGTCGCCCTATCCAGTCATTTGACCCAACCTCATACCAGCTGCACCCCCACAGAGTGCCCGCCAGAGACCAACACTGGCAGCCACTGGCATCTGGGGATCCCAGAGCCCAAAACATGTGCAGCGCATAGCCTCTGGCCGCCCAGGGCATGCTTGCTCTCAGCCAAGCTAACCCGAACCCTTCCTCTCCCAAACGTATCCACATGCAAAGCCCTCCACTCAAATGGCTTCTGGAAATAGGGTACTTACAACTGGCTGATGGTTCCTAAGAAACAAAGCTTGCTAAAAGGATGCGGAAATCGACACACGGTCAACCTTTTGGAAGCTTGACAACACATGGGTGTGTTCTGATTCGAGGGTACCCCTTTGTTGAAGGAACACCAACTGAAAAACCACCATGTTGGGGTGCCCAAAAAAACACACACACAGACACACAGACACACAGACACACAGACACACAGACACACAGACACACAGACACACAGACACACAGACACACAGACACACAGACACACAGACACACAGAGACACACAGACACACAGACACACAGACACACAGACACACAGAGACACAGAGACACAGAGACACAGAGAGACACAGAGAGACACAGAGAGACACAGAGAGACACAGAGACACAGAGACACAGAGAGACACAGAGACACAGAGACACAGAGACACAGAGACACAGAGAGAGACACAGAGACACAGAGACACAGAGACACAGAGACACAGAGAGACACAGAGAGACACAGAGAGACACAGAGAGACACAGAGAGACACAGAGAGACACAGAGAGACACAGAGAGACACAGAGAGACACAGAGAGACACAGAGAGACACAGAGAGACACAGAGAGACACAGAGAGACACAGAGAGACACAGAGAGACACAGAGAGACACAGAGAGACACAGAGAGACACACAGAGAGACACAGAGAGACACAGAGAGACACAGAGAGACACAGAGAGACACAGAGAGACACAGAGAGACACAGAGAGACACAGAGAGAGACACAGAGAGACACAGAGAGACACAGAGAGACACAGAGAGACACAGAGAGACACAGAGAGACACAGAGAGACACAGAGAGACAGAGAGACACAGAGAGACACAGAGAGACACAGAGAGACACAGAGAGACACAGAGAGACACAGAGAGACACGCAGACACGCAGACACGCAGACGCGCAGACGCGCAGACGCGCAGACGCACAGACGCGCAGGCGCGCAGACACACAAACACACAGACACACAGACACAACACACACACACAGACACAACAGACACAACAGAAGACACCACAGAAGACACCACAGAAGACACCACAGAAGACACCACAGAAGACACCACAGAAGACACCACAGAAGACACCACAGAAGACACACAGAAGACACACAGAAGACACACAGAAGACACACAGAAGACACACACACACACCCACGCGCACACACACACACACACCCACGCACGCACGCACGCACGCACGCACGCACGCACGCACGCACGCACGCACGCACCCACACACACACACACACACACGCACACCCGAGTGGACAAGTGGACAGCAACCAATTAAACCTTGAGATTCCGAGCGGCCCAAGCGCGCGCCCGCTCACAAGCGCTGAGCGCTAGGCCTGCAGACTGTGGCCATTTGGTGGTTCACGAGCCCGCCAAGACCCAAAGAGTATCTCTGAACACCTGGGCATGGACCAAACCTGACTAGACTTGTTTTGGCTTGCCCTTTTATCCGTCTTATGTTCAATGGGGCACCTCATATAATCGGATCCGTGTCCATAGCTTGCGCCGTTCCAACAATGCCCTCCTTGGTGTCACAGAAATGGGCACCAGAAATCCTTGCTCCACAACCTTTTTGGCAGCGACAAAAGCTGTCTGCATCTGAGCTGTTGCTCATTCTTATACAGTTTGTTTATTTGGAGTCTCCATGACCCTCAAACCTGCGTGAATTCAATTTTGTAACATCTGTGATACGTTCTGCTCAACTGCCCCTCCCTGAAATGGTTGAAGCAAAGTGTTGTTGGGGGTTAAAAATTGAAATCACCGATTCATAGTCCTAGACTAGTCATAATACAAACCACCAAGGCTGACCCTCCTCATGCACTGCCTGCTAAGGTAAGTTCTACCTTGTTTGTTTTAAGTAATGTCCATCTGTGTGCCTTCATGCTGGAATAAGGCACTTGGTTTTGCACACACCCAAAAGGTGCTCAGCACTGTTCCAATAAATGAATTTTCTCAAATAGTTTGCTGCTTTTTGTTTAGTCCCAAATAGTTCCTCCTAAAACACAGAACTCTGAAATGAACACGCCCATGTTTGTCCCAACCTTGGTTTGGTGCTCTTGCCAGCTTTGCATCCCCTGGTGCGGGGTCCGTAAAGTGAAAGAAATGGTGCGCTGAAGGGAAACCACCAACATGCATCCGCTTGCATCCACAAGGAACCCCAAATCAGGGATCATAACGGGTCATGGGTTTGCGTCTTTGAGCCGAAGGAAAGGCCAAGCCAACCGCGCTGTTCAGAACGGAGGGTTGGTCGATTCTATCTCATGATTCTTGTTAGAGACCCCGGTACACAAAGGACCCCTTTCTTGACCCGAAGTGTGTCAACATCCGCTCATTACCAGGCAACGGAATTGGTGTCAAGGGAGAAGAGACCCCTCCAATTTGATTTAGGGGTCCAAAAGATTCTACTAGATGATTTGGGATTGCCTTTGAACAGCCCAGTTGATAATTCCGGGACTCCCGGGTTCCCGCTACATGTCCAAGCCGCTGCAAGCGAAAACGGCGGCTGGCCCCTGGTCAACCAGCTCAGCTGCCTTGGTCGGCACATGCCTGCCTGGATGTTGATCTCGCCGTGTCAGGAAAGCTCTTTACTATCAAATGGACTCTCTTTGAATAACGCAGTGCTCTCCGATATCACAGGCATCCTCACCCGTTTGCCACTCTGACTCATCGCATGGCGTACCTCGAAGACTCTGACTCCAAGCCACTCAAGTAACAGAACAACGGCGAGGCCCCGTCCAGACAAGTGCTCTTACGTTCCCCCCTTCCCCCTAGATATCGACCGGGCACCTGGACAGGTCCCGTTCGGCCGAGACACCACTTGCCACTGGTCCGCCCTGGCGCACGAGGCGACCGCAGCCTGGGCACAGGCATCATAACTGCCGAAAAACCGCGAGTTGGTACACTCCCGGATTTTTGTTGGAATGGTTTAGGAGATTAAAGGTTTAAGGGTTTAGGGGATTAAGGGTTTAAAGGTTTAAACGAACTGGCCGAACTGGCCATGCCTATAATCCCCCTTGTTCAGTCGCGAGTCCTACAGCCTTTGCTCATGCCTGCAACTGGTAACACTAGCCAGCATGGACCGGGCAAGCAAAGCGGGAACTTCTTGGCTGGCTGGCCAGCCGGCACAAATAAAGCTGATTGTTCAACTCCATGGCGTGCATTGCATCAAGATCAAACCTTGCAGCCTAAGTTTTCAAAAGCTGCGCGCAAAATGGGTGGCAACAGCTTGGCACAAAATCTGAAATGTCCATGTGCACACACGGATGCCTCCCTTGGGGGGCTACCAAAGTCCTCAGGAGTCCTCACTGGCTGTCATTCTGGAGGTCACTTTTTTGTAGTCCCTCAGATACAAGGCTCATCCGTTCTTGGCCCGTGACACAAAGCCATGTCTAGGAACCTTCTTGGAGGGCTTCGAACAATTCTGAGCCCAACAACTCGGACTTGTCCAAAGGACCAGGAAACAAAAGAACACCACACATGGGCCAAAAAGGCGACACCAACAGGCCAGCTCAGCTTTAGACACGTAAGCCTAAGGTACAACAATCAGTTCTTGCAAGCCCATGCCCAAATGGAAAAAGGGCCTGAATCATCACATTGTGCTGCTGTGTTCATGACTTGCGGCTTTAAAGCCAGCCGGGACCCCATGGCCCAGTCAGCTTTGGATGCGCCAGGGGGCACTCAGAGCGGCGCCCCCAAGGCTTTCGAGCAGCTGCAGGGAGACTTGCCACTGGGTGTCCTGAGGCTTGCGAGGCCCAGCGACCAAGTCGGCTCTAGCTTGCCATTTTTTAGGAAGGATTGCTCCAGGAAGTCGTGTGATGTAGTGGATCTGACCTTTTCTATTCCGTGGCGGTGGGTTAGGATGGCTC